CCTTTAGTCTGCAGGCTGATGTTCTATCCACGACCCAAACCAGGTCGGGCTAGACTTGATCATTTTTAAGGTGTCTTGCACCTTTGAAATGTATAAAAATGCAGGATATAATTAAACTTGCAGGTTTTTCGACCTAGATGGACCAACACAACTAGAGAAATAATTATATCACCAGAAAATAGGAATAGCAATGCATATATTGATTCAGAATAAATTCTTCAGCCATACAAACTTTTATCATATCAAAGATAATTTTTTACAGCATGGCACACACTTGCTTTAATAAAACCTTATTGTTCGTTTGTTTGCCTATCACTCTCCAGTTAAAGACAACACAGCACATACCTGAAGACAATAGGCATGCTTTCCCAATTGCACTCAGGATAAGAGTGTTCTGGTGAAGAAGAAAAACAATCCTGCATCCAGCAGACCCTTTAGCTGACTCAGCCATCCTAGCTGATAGTATAATATTTTATGCTGGAAATTGGTACTTTAAAAACTTACATGTTTAAAGCAAGAGTGTAATCAAGGACCATGAGAAGAATCAGGAAGCAGACATTACTCTTTATCAAGTCAGCTGAAACCAGGAAAGTTAAAATGGGACTGTTGTCTATACCACAGCAATTCACATTTTTCAGTAAGAAATGTTTTCTCAAGAAAAATACAGCCCAATGAGAACGGGCTCGTAAGAAGGAAAGAAGAGCAGGTGAGATGGAAACCAGCCACCCTTCTCTACATTATGGTTCAGGAATGACAGACCTGCAGGATATGGCTCAAGTGCAATGTCTCTGCCTTTTCTTTCAGTTTTCATACTGCAAGACCTTGACCTCATGGCCACCGCAGCTCACCTGCTTCCAGAGGCGCCATGAGTTTCCACTGGGGAGAAATTTTTTCATCTCCTCTTTTTCCCTTCTCATATTCGTAATGTGTTAAAGCCCTGCTAACCCTCCTGCCTTAGCTAGTTCATGATGTAACATGAGTCCTCCTTTATCAATTTTGCAAGAGCCTAAAGCTTCATTCTATTCACATACGGGCAATTGTTCCATCACATTACCTTTTTTTGTTGAAGGTTCCAATAATCTTCGTGCAACTGGAGTTGTCTCCTCCACACACTCCACACTTGTCATACTGCAGCTTTGAGCCAATGATGCCATCACAGCCAGTCCGCACACATTTCCCCCGGACGCAGACGGAATTACTGTACGGCCTACATTCCGTTCCATCGGTCACCTGCATGGGAGAAACACGTTAGCAGTGGGCAGTACTTGTGCCCACATACTCGGTTTCTTTGGTAACGGACCACATTCTAATTGGTGAGTTTTGAGTTTGATTGGAATAGATAGTACATTGAGAAATAAACAAAGAACCAAAAAACTATAGTTTTCAGGAGCATCTAACTTAAGAATCATTTACATGTTGGCAGAAGATCTGAGATAAGTCTCAGTTATACACTTTCTCTCTTGAGCTTAACTCCAAATGTGTTGAGACACCCAAGGTATTCATCTCCATTTCTCTATGCCTATCACGTTCCCATTGTACAGCCTCTCCTTATTACCCTGAGCGAAGTGATCTTTCCACTCAGCCTGTGGGACTGTCACTTGCTTCAAGAGCAGAATATGAGCAGGAGATCTTTCTTTGTGGCATAATTATTAACATAGCCGTAAATCTGAAAACCTAAACCTGGCCTTCAAAACCATGTAATGGTTGGAAAACAGTCCCTGGTGTGTCAAACTGACAGATGCTGAAATCGAGACAAACAAATTAGTGTAGGAAAAGGGATCTGGGGAAGTCACTGAAAACTACTTACTAGAAGAAAATGACTTAACTATATATATAAAAGCCCAGCAACTGGAATAACAGCAGAATGACCAGAACAATCAGAATGACCAGAACAACCAGTGGTTATGACACACTGCAGCAGCCAACCACCCTGATCTGGGCCCTGATCGCAATGCCCCCCTCTCCCCCCGGGCCTGGCCTGGCCCCCAATCGGCCCCCAACACCCCGATCAGGGGTGGGGCAGGCTGGCCAACCACCCGCAACCACTCCCCGCAGCTGGCCCTGCCCCTGACCAGCTCCCAACACCCCGATCAGGGCAGGGCCAGCTGGCCAATCACCTGCAGCCCCCCCCCTCCCACTGGCACAGCCTGATGGGCCCCCATAGGGATGGTCCGGCTGGACCCCACCCATGCAGAATTCATGCACTAGGTCTCTAAGTGTATTCATAAAGCTAGTCATAAAATAGGATGTGCATGGACTACTTAGGGTTTGTGCATGTGAGTGTAGATAAATAATATGTCATATATATATATATATATATATATATACACACATATATATATTTATACATGAGAGAGAGAGAGAGAGAGAGACAGAGAGAGAGACAGAGAGAGAGAGAGAGAGAGAGAGAGAGAGATTTTGTATTTGTGAATATACAAAAGTCTTCATACATGTGTGTATATACTGAAGTAGGGTATACTTCAGCAGGTTAACTGCTGTCTAGTTGGCTGTATTTCCAGGTGATGTTTTTGTTTTTATTTCCCTGTACTATTTTTAAAAATGAAAATGTATTTTTTTGAAATAAAAAATATAGTTTTAAATTACGTTAGTTAGACATGAACTTATTTGTCAATAACGTGTCAGAAATATCTGAAGGTCAGGTACAGAGGTGGATTTAAATGTTTCACCTGCTGTGAAGGGATGAAGAAGTACAGATTGGTAGTTTCAAAATAATCATGGGGATGTAATATATGGCAAAAGGAATATAGTAAATAATTATGTATAGTGCTAGCTGGGTACTAGAAATATCAGGGAAAACACTTTTTAAAGTATGTGATTGTCTAACCACTATGATGTATACCTGCAACTAATACAAAATAATATTAATGTAACTGTTACTGAAAAAAATTAAAAAAACAATGAATGTAGCATCTGTTTGCAAATTAGATAAACAGTATTAGATAAATTGCTGCATAATATTGATTGTGAGAAGTAAAGCTGCAGTAATTCAGAAAATGTTCTTCAGTGAAAAATAAGGGATAATTCCACACTCATATATTATGTGTACAAGTAGAGGGACATTGATTCATACTAAGAGTGCAAGGCATTTAAAAGTCTAGTTCAGAGACTTGAGAACTATCTTCATGAATCACTACCAAAATTCTTAAGTAAACGATAATGGGATAGAAAAGCTTTCTTGCTATATAGTCCCCTTTACAAACGTGCCTTGGAAATACCAGCTGTTTTCAAGGCTATTTTGAACTTAAGGTAGCATCTGACCTGCTTGATGAGTTACCCTTTTCAAAAACAGCTTTTAAAACATGTACTTGTTCTGCTTATAAAAATTTTTTATTCATTGTATAAAGTTTGAAAATAGAAATTATAGAGATGAAAATAAAGTCCTTCTAAATCTAGCCACCACCCCCCCTCCCCCCAAATAATGACTGTTTACAGTTGGTATCTGTAGGCTTCCTTCTACCAAATGATTTCCACCAACGATGCCTATTGTGTCTGGACAGTTACTTACCTTTGGAGAAAACACCACATAGTAGCCGGTGCCCTTGGCCCTGCAGGTCAGCTTGCACACGTCCCCCGGCAGGACGCCGGCATACTTAGGAACCCATTCCACAAATGTTTTGACTCCTTTTGCATCAGACTGATATCCATTTTTGGCTTCACACTGCTCATGACGAAAAGATTTACCTAAGAAACCAACATGTCACGTTATTACTCGACTGTTCTGAAACTCACAAACATCCTTGTGCATTTAAATAATTTTAAGAAGAGGCTGTTTTCTTTCAGAGCCTCTTCACATACCACTGTTGAACGACTTTTATTTATACATGGAGTTGAAAATAGCAATTATTTTCTTTCAACTTCCTGGATACTCAACTGTTTATAATAATAATTTAAAAAATCACTCATGTAGTTGTTACTGATTTGCACACTGGTAGGATAATGAAGTACAAAATGAATAGACTATTTCACCAGAATAGCTAGAATAGGCTATTCTAGCCCTGTCCATTACTGCTAGAATAGAATTTGCAGGTGACACATGGCGGTTGCTGACACCTGGGAGCGGCGTACCATTCGTGGGACAGGGCACAACACTGCAGGATCGGTAGATGGCCCTCTTTCCTGTGCAGTAGCGGCCACTGTTTCTGGGTGCTGGGTTATTGCAGTGGCGATAGGCAAATTGTACTCCTCCCCCACATGAGCGGGAACACTGGCCCCAAGATCCCCAGGACCCCCAGTTGCCATGGCTTGATGTCTGAAATAGAAAATAGAAGACATGTTAACTCAGAAGGGAAGAAAACATTCAAATGTACATTTGGACATCACTTGCATATATGACGATGGGCACTTCATTTAGAGTTAAATTGTCAGTGAATGTTCTGGAATTACAACGTGTTTCTGATTCTAAGCAATTCACCCTCTCTGCTTCCCCTCTCTCTGGCACTAGAGTTTCTGAGTGCATCACCCTGAGCACTTAGCTCACTGCAAGAATGACCACCTGGTTTCTCTGACCATTTTAACTGACGCATCCCGACACTGCACGTTTCTGTCAATCACCACTGAACCCCGCTTGACTTTGTATCCACTCTGATCTTGCACCTTTAACAAAAGGTATGATGCTAAAGATTTTGCATGTCACCAGGTGTGAGTTCCTCATGCTTGTGTATCTGTTCTTCCTCTTTCACACGAAAGTTCTGCAGTGCCTCTGGCATCACACATCCTGTCTGTGACAGACCCTCTGCCACATGCATCCATGTACTTGACCTGGGGGTGGCTGAATTCCTAACTAGATTAGGGTCTCAGGGCTTAGAGAGGAAATGTGGCGGATATTGAGGTGAACCCACACCACATGCACACACACCCCGGGAAACGAAGAGCCCTGTCATGACACCCCAGGCCTATTACTCTGGAAACATTGCAACGCGGAAGCTGTGACTCTTAAAGGGAGAATATTATGAACTCCTTTGTGGAAGGGACTTGTGAAGAGCATCTGCGGGCTGCCTGTGTCAGGGGATCTGAGAAGGTGTTAGCCTTTGACGATACAGGAAACATGCATATGGCAACATTCTTCTGGGGCAGCCATCTGCAACTGGCATGCTATAAGGTTTTAAAACATGCAACACCTGCCTATTTAGTCAGGGGTGGCCTCTTTTCCCTTAGATTGTCAAATAAAACATGGCAACAGCCAACACAATAACAGCCATCTGGTATGAGACATGGATACAGGGAACAGGCTGACCAGGGGAGGGTGTTGGGAGGAACTGGATGGAAGAAGTTGAAGGGATTAACCAAAGAACATATATGCATAGTCCATGCACACAGACAACAATGTGGTGAAGGTCAGGTGAGGGGGGCAGGGGCTGAGTGGAGGTGGACAAAGTGGCGGGGGGAATGGAGGACATCTGTAATAGTGTCAACAATGACAAATAAATAAAATTTAAGAACAGAAAAAAAATTATACTTTTTTTTTTTAGTCAGATAGAGAAAAAAATATGTGTGCCACAGAAGTTTAGTAATTAGTGTATATGTGCCGGGAGATGAAAAAGATTGAAAATTGCTGTTCTAGGGACTGTGGGTGAGTGTCAACAGAAACTTTGGGCCTTAAAAATGAAGGTGGCAGCCTGGCTGGCGTGGCTCAGTGGTTGAGTGTCGACCTATGAACCAGGAGGTCACGGTTCGATTTCCAGTAAGGGCATATACTCGGATTGCAGGCTCAATCCCCAGTCTCGGGCATGCAGGAAGCAGCTGATCAATAATTCTCTCTCATCATTGATGTTTCTATTTCTCTCTCCCTCTCCCTTCCTCTCTGAAATCAATAAAAAAAAATAAAAGGGGAAGGCAACAAGAGATGTTCGATTCTGGTCAAGGGCACATGCCCTGGTTGCGGGCTCATTACCCAGTAGCGGGGGAGGTGCAGGAGGCAGCTGATTCTCTTTCATCATTGATATTTCTATCTCTCCCTTCCTCTCTGAAATCAATAAAAATATATTTTTAAAAAGTAAAAAATAAAAAAATTAAAAAAAACAGATTTAAAAGATGAAGTGCTCCAGGTGATGTTGAAACATGATGCGCCCACACATCTGCAGACTCTATTGTCTCCTCATCATTTACCTCTTTAAAAAAATGAAGGTGGCAGTTGCTGACATAAAGGTGGACTATTGGGGGGCGAGGGGGCAGGGAGGGATGTGTCCCTGGAGCAGGTGTGGGCTGCTTTAGCTGCTAAAGATAGATGAACTTGCTAAGCAGGGAAAGCAGGGCGATTTTGGCTCTTCCCGAGTATGTGTGAGGACCATGTGCCAGGTCTATTGATATTTCCTTAATGAATTTAAAAAATGCCATCTCATAACATGGCTAAGAGAAGCCTGAAAGTAAACTTCCCCACAGTGGGCCCTACTGGGTCTCAGGCAAGTAGAATCTGGGCTTCACCCTTATTTGTCACCGGACATAACCTGGGCAGAGCACCTGTGGCCTGCATTTCCTCCAGTTTTTCCATGGCTGGACCTGGCTGCTGTGGTTAAAGGAGGAAGCAGGAAATAGCTCTCTCAAGAAAACACAGTTTAACTAGGAAATGAAGCCTCCTGCTGACAGCCCCACACATGTCAGGGGAACGTGCTCCAGGTCTCGGGTCTCCAGGCATCGCGTGGCAGGAAAACCACTTACCGAATAATATTTTTTCTTGGTTTTGTCCACACACTTGCCCTGCAGGCAGATCCTTCCTTTCCCACACGGGGTCCCTTCCACGGCGGGCAGCTTCTTGGTCAGACACACCATCTGGCCCTGGCGCACCACGGCGCACCAGAGGCGGGCGCAGACATCCATGCCTGGGCACACCGAGTACTCGGGCCCGAAGGTCAGGTTGCACTGCTGGGTGGCATCGTAGGTCTGTCCGGGGAGCTCTTCGGGGCCCAGGATCTGCTTGCGAGGCAGGTCTAGCAAACAGTTACCTGAAAGAATAACCAAGAATGACCATTGCTCCGTGTGTAGGTTTTAAACCACCAAAGTCACGGATCTAAAGAGGAAGTGCTCCAGCCCTAGCAGGTTTGGCTCAATGGATAGAACGTCGGCCTGCAGATTGAGGGGTCCTAGGTTCGATTCCGATCAAGGGCACATGCCCTGGTTGCGGGCTCAATACCCAGTACGGGGGGGAGGTGCAGGAGGCAGCTGATTCTCTCTCATCATTGATGTTTCTATTTCTCATCCCTCTCCCTTCCTCGCTGAAACCAATAAAAATATTTCTTCTCTGAAATCAATAAAAATAGATTTAAAAGATGAAGTGCTCCAGCTGATGTTGAAACATGATGCGCCCACAGATCTGCAGTGTGATGCCCTCGGGAAGGGACTCCGTGGGGTGAGGCTGGGTTCCTCCATGTAATGTATTGACTCTAGGGTATCTATAACGATGGCAGTGGCATGATTGAATAAATGCAGTTTGTAATAATTAGTTGTGAAAATAGCCGTTGTGCTAAGACACTAAAAGAAATGGATTGCCTGGCCGGCTGGCATGGCTCAGTGGTTGAGCGTCAACCTATGAACCAGGAGGTTGGATTGTGGACTCGATCCCCAGTGTGGGGTGTGCATGAGGCAGCCAATCAATGATTCTCTATCAGCATTGATGTTTCTCTCTCTCTCGCTCTCTCGCTCTCTCTCTCTCTCTCTCCCTTCCTCTCTGAAATCAATAAAAATATATACATATTTTTAAAAAGAAACTGGTATAGATCTAAAGGAAATAAAATAATGGACATAACAGCAACAACAATATATAAACATTTACATCAGTAAGAAATAGTGTGCCCTTGGCACTCTATTTATACCCCATTGTCCACTTTCAACTTCTCTCTTCCTCATGTGCCTTCCCTTGTCCCCTTCTCATTAACTCCATAAATACTAAACAAGTGGATCCCTCCTTCATTTTTGCACTCACTGAAAACAATGATAATGGGTATGATGCCCAACATATTTGGTTAGCACCTACAATGTCCTAGTAAACATACTAGAATTGGGAAAACAGAAAAATAACCCAGATCCAGCCTTCAAGGCCCCCCAGTAAAGTGAAAGAAATAGACTAAATAACGTATTTCTCCCAGACTGATAAGACTTGGAATAAAGGAGGAGTGGGAAAAATCGAGAAATAATCTTTGATGATTTGGGCCGAGACCCAACTTTTACTCTTCTCCTCCCTTTTTTCCCCTTTGTGTCAGTTTTTCATGTAATTCGTACTTGTTGCTTGGCATGTGTCTGCCCCACAACGAGTTGGTGCCCTTATTACAGAGTAATATGGGGAGTAGTGAGCTGGGGGTCAACAGAAGCCAGCGCTCCACGTGAATGATGCAATCTCAGAAGCTGGAACCTACCTGCAACACGCTTCTCTAAGAATCCCTCCTCAGGGAGTAATATCATTGATTATCTCCCATGATTTGGGTGCATGCACATTGCCCACCATTTTCTGTATTTTTTTTATTTACTTGATTTTAGAATTGCTGATGATTAAGAGCACCAAAAATAACAAAGATTTCTTACACATTTACACTATTCTCAGCTACTTAAATGTATTAGTTTACTTAATCCTCATGAGAACTCTGCGAAGCAGACTCTATTGTCTCCTCATTGACCAACTTACTTCTGCTTTGCACGTGGATAGGTTTTTCTGATTTTATTGCTGAAGGGAAAGCACAGGTAGGGATCCTTTAAATGGTGGGTATTGTGCCTCCTGGTAGAAACACCAGGTCTAAAGTCTAACTCTGGCAAACACTAAGGGCTGAGTGTTCTTGGCCAACTTAGTTCACCTCTCCCTAATTTATTTTTCAAGCTCTGTGAAATGTTTCTCTTTTCCCTGTGACACCGTAAGGGTAAAATGAACTAAAAGAGATATAAGAGGCCACCAGAAAAATACAAAACAATGGTAGTTGCTATTATGTCCAGCATACATAACAACCATTTAGATATATTCGAGTTATTCTTTAGGTTCAACAAAATAGAGATATTTAAATCCCACTTTCCACCGAGAAATTAAATACTCAGCACATTTCAAATAGACTGCAAATGTTTTTACAACTACCACACTCACATTTCTTCAAAGTGAATACCTTAGAATGTGTCGATCTGTGTCGGAGGCATTATATGAAAATGAATAAAGAGCAAAGTTCCTATTTAACTTCTGGGCCAGAATGTTTGAAGAGGTAAAACTTCTTAAGGCAAGCCAGAAAAAGCATTAGAAAAGAAGTACCCAGCCAAAGAGAACTTGGGGAGAAAAACATCGAGTTAAAAGGAAAACATCAACATCAAGTCAATAGGAAAGAATGATAGTAAAACCCCACGAAGCTTTGTTTAGGAGACGGAGGAAGATTGGGCCCTTTGGAACCCCCTGGAAAGCGTATCTTCATTGCTACATAGAAAGAGCATTGTGTAAACCAGGGAAAGCTCAACAGATTGCTGATGTTAGGAGACTGTCCACGGATCTCTGAGACAGCAAGAATGCTTTCCAATTCTTCAAAAGTACTGCTTTAAAAAAAACACTTTAATTTTACTAAAAAGCACAGAGCATAAGACTAGGTAACTAAATATTAGCTGGGAAGTCTTCACATGTGTGGGTGCATGTGGCAATGGTCTACCTGGTATGGCTCCAGCCAAAATAACTCCCCACCTCTCTGTGGACATGCAGTCACCGACATCCTTTCTACCTTACTGGTAGATGATGAGTGAAAAGGAATGTATAATGCAAACAGTTTGAAATCAGCTTACACAAAGGCAAGTTCAAGGGGTGACATCTCTTTATAATGCTTAATACCAAAGGATGAATTTTGAAAATGAATAACACATTTGTTTTGCTCTGAAAAAGTTGGTATCTCTGCTGCATGGTTTTCAGGTAGAGGTCACCGGGGGATGACCTGTACTTGCTTAAAGTGACTTATTTCAGAATTGCCATTAATGTATTGCTCTGATGTTCTCAACATTAGGATTCGATGCTGCATTCCTTTCTTTTTACTCTGAAATGTGCAGTCTGTCGATTTCATCCATTTGTTGAATTACACCCTTTAGCTATAAAATAGGTACAGGCATCTCTACCAAATGGCAGTCTGTGCCACAGAACAACACCAAATAAAAAGCCTTATTCTGGATCTCACAGGATAAAATATTTAAAATCCCAGTAATAGTGGATTGGATATAGATTTTTCCACCTTCAAAACTGTGTACGTTTTGGGGGAGGGATGAAAGAGGACTTGATCAAACTTTTAGTATCATTCACGCTAACCTCTAGAAGTATTCAGTCTACGGTTGACTTTTCTTGCTCATTTTTACTTTTATTCTCAGCCACTTTTTTACATTTACTTAATGCGTTTTTTAATTTACCTTTGTCTGAAATCCTACCTGGGCTTGGCTGCCCACATTGGTCTGTTTGCTGTGTTCCACAAACTGCCAAATTGCTTTTTCCTTTCTCCCTCCCTCATTTCTTCCTTTCTTTTGTTTTAACCTTTGGTGCATATAAATGATGGTTTCGAAAAGGTATATGAATGCCGAATCATTATATTGTACACCTGAAACTAACATGATATTGTATAGCAACTATATTTAAATTAAAAAAAGAGCCTAGCCTGACTGGTGTGCTCAGTGGTTTAATGCTGACCCATGAACCAATAAGTCACTGGTTCCATTCCCAGTCAAGGGTCAGGGCACATGTCCAGGTTTCTCTCAATCTCCAGTAGGAGGCATGCGGGAGGCAGCCCATTGATGATGTTTCTCTCTCATCATTTTTTGTATCTCTCTCTCCCTGCCTCTCTAAAATCAATAAAAACATTTAAAAAAAAGAACTTAGAAACAAACAAAAAAATAACAGGATATAAGTACAGAGGCACTAGATATTAAAAATATAATGAGGATGTTATAAACAACTTTATGCCAATACATTTGGATCGAGATGAAAAGAAATTGAGCATTAAGATCATATTACTAGCTTTATCGTTTATATTTACAAGGGATTTCTGCAATTGATTTTCTAATACCATTTTATCTCCAAAAGTCTGTGGTTCAGTAAGTGACTGTAAATGAGACCTTCAAATATGCTCCAGGTTAATGTTTCAAAGCTGTCTCTCGGTTTTCCTGGGCAGCCTGTGTCATGGGTGTATACTTGAGCTGTGGCTACTAGTACTTAGGTGGCTACTAGTACTTAGGTGGTACCTTTCTCATCACCTGGCACTGAGACTTTAGGGATACAGTGGGGGTTGAGCTATTGTTTCTGGCTTCAAGGTTACAGAGCATTTAAGAAAGGAAATTCAATAACCTGCTTTCACTGCACAATTTCTCTGCCAGTGTTTCCCTTTATTTTGAGGATCACACCCTAGCCAGCTTGCCTGGAGCTAACTTGTATAAACATGGCAGAATGTCCACAAGTATCTCGGCCAGGTTGGTGGGGGCTGGGGATCCCCATGAGATATGGCTTCTCCTTTTCTGAATCACAAATGTACAGGCAGTCATTTTCAAGTGTGCATACTGACTTTCAATCATAACCGAATTGCTACATAGTTCTTGTTGGAACTAAATCAGGAAACACTCAGTATTAATGAATTTTAATTTGGCAATGGTTGAATGCTATAAATGTCTGGCTGCTTATGGCTAATAATTTTAAAAATAAAGCAAATGATTTGAATGTAATCACACTCTAAGATCTCATTTCTCCAGCATTGCTGGAGGGAGACAGGTGAGCTATTTTTTTTTACCCATAGAGTTTTCCAGATAATAAATTCCTTAGGCAGCATCTAAAAATTGTATAAATTTTGTGAGAATATCTATTTAAAACAGTTGTTGCTTTGCTGCCTTTATATTGATGTCAAAATTTAATCTTCTTAAAATAAAGGAGTATCAATTTTTGTATCATGCTGAAATACAGAGGTACCTTCACGGATCTTGCTGGTAGGATAGGGTTTTTTACTTTTGGCAAAATGGTGCCAGACCTCTAAGCTTTAAATGTTTCAGGACCACATCTTACAGCTTTTCTGGTTTCTCCTTATTGCCAATCTAGAGGCTCAGTGCACGAAATTTGTGCATGGGGTAGGGTGGTTCCCTCAGCCCAACCTGCACTTTCTCCAATCCGGGACCCCTTGGACATCCCTCTCACAATCTGGGAATGCTGGCTCCTAATTGCTCACCTGCCTGACTGACTGATCACCCCTAACCACTCTGCCTGCCTGCCTGATTGCTCCTAACCACTTGCCTGCCTGCCTGATCGCCCCTACCCACCTCTGCCTGCCTGCCTGATTGTCCCTAACTGCCTCTGTCTGCCTGCCTGATCACCCCTAACCACTCTGCCTGCCTGCCTGATTGCCCCTAACTGCTCCCTGCGGGGTGGGGCCAGCTGGGGCAAGGGGCCGTGGTCATTCTGGTCTCTGGTTGTTCTGGTCATTCCACTGTTTCAGTCACTGAGCTTTTATTATATAGGATGACATCATTTCTTGCTTTCAGTTTACCTGTCTGAAGTGCACCCCACCCCCACCATGATTATATTATTGCTTAAAATATTTGGTGGCCAAGAAAATTAGAACAAAAATTAGTAGCTTGGCCAGAGTGGCTCAGTGGTTGAGTATCGACCTATGAATGAGGTGGATATGGTTAATTCCTGGTCCAGGCCACATGCCTGTGCCTTGATCCCTGGTGGGTAGTGTGCAGGAGGCAGGTAATCAATGATTCCCTCTCATCAGTGATGTTTCTATCTCTGTCCTTCTCCCTTCCTCTCTAAAATCAATAAAAACCATATATTTTTTAAAAATAAAAAGAGAAAAAATAATTATTTCTACCAAATATGAATAAGTGGGCTCTGATGGGAAGCCTCTTTAAGAAAAGTGAAGGGATTTTATGATATGATTTCATTATATCATTTCAGCCTTCTGACAAAGATGTGTTTGTTTATTTGTTTTTCCATTGTCTTGGACTTCAACTTTCTTCTTGGTTCTCTCTTAAGCTCTGAAGCGGAAGTGTCAGAATCTCAATCATCTGGAAATTGCATTTACTAGTTCCGATTGCCACACTTCCACTTAAGTCAGTTTTCCAGGTTGCAATTTAAAAGTTATTACATTATTTGAACTCACATTTACAGAGAGCACTGCTCTGCATGCTATTTTGAAATGCACATAGTTGAAAGCTTTGCCATTGTATCATAGGACCTTTTTTTTTTCCTCTCCTTATTCTGAAATTACTTGATTCATTATAGGCTACTGAAAAAGGCTTTGTTGTTAAAACGCAAGACTGCCTAACCAATATATTTTAAAGTGAGAGTCTAAGCTTCATGAAATGAATAAATCAACTAAGAGAATTTGCTATCAAAATTCAATTTAGGGAAATGAATTTAGTTATTTAACATACAAATGAGAAATTCAGATAAGACTTTATCATTGCAAGTGAAATAGGTCTGTTTCCACTAAAAATATGTTCTTGGTTGTTATATCCCATGAGATCCTTTGGAACAGACAGAGAGATATATAAAACATGTAAATTAGTTGCAAAAATTTAACAAATCTGAGCATGGACTCTTTTAAATACAGAAGTAATATTAAAATATGCAGATAATACTAAAAGCCTATTTACTGCACAGAAAGTAAGATCATGGATTCCACAAATGTGAAATAAATGAATCATTCCAAAATTATGGTAATAAGAAATAAAATTCTGCACAGCATTGTAATTAACTGACCTAATACTTGCACAGGGAAAAAAAAATTGGTCCCGTTTTAGCCATAAGTATTTGCTGCCTTAGCAACTAAATCCACCCATTTAGTGATTCAAAGTTTAACTCAACATTTTGGAATGTGTAACGTGTGATTCTGAAATAAAATATTAATGTGATTTCATTTTCAGAAAGCCTGAGAAAAAAAAAATCCCAGCAAAAGCAATAGTAAGAGTAGAGAATACATGCCCACTGGCATGGCTCAGAGGTTGAGTGTCGAGCTATGAACCAAGAGGTCACACAGTTCGATTCCCAGTCAGGGCACATGCCTGGGTTGCAGGCTCTAATCCCAGTGTGGGGCGTGCAGGAGGCAGCCAATCAATGATTCTCTTTCATCATTGATATTTCTATCTCTCTCTTCCTCTCCCTTCCTCTCTGAAATCAATATATATAAAAAAAAATGTATTTTTAAAAAGGCATTTGAAAGAAAGAAAGAAAGAAAGAAAGAAAGAAAGAAAGAAAGAAAGAAAGAAAGAAAGAAACGAAGGAAGGAAGAATATGGTTCCACCCAAGAGGGACTTTACTAGACATTCACTTGATCCATGTAGACAGGCAGATAATTAAATAAACATTAATTTTGGGAGTTTATCAATATTTAATCAACATTGTAAACTGAGCTAAACAGAAAATTACCACTTTATTATTAACCTAAAGGAAAAACCTAGTTCATTGATTCTCAGTATTATCTCAAATCTTTGAGATATTGAGATGTCCTTCCAATAAACAAAGAACATCTATTTTGTATTGAGGAAAATTTTAAACCAAGTTGGGCATGGACTATATTCAGAAATAGGAAATTCTAAAATTCCCAAGTGGATAAAGCATTTACACTAACAGAGCAAAAAAATGAGTTAACAGATTTTGCCTATAAGCCACCAAAGGACATGGAACAGAATTTATTTTTGTCTGAAAAAAATTAAATTTTTAATTGTTTTGACATTATGGAGTCAAAGTTGAAGATGGTGAGCTCACTAAGAAATTAAAAAAATATTAAACCCTAACTTTGTGGAACTAGGAAAAAGCAGTTATTACAGATTCTCTTTATCCAACTTTGAAGCAATCATTATAAGTTAAATTTATGGACAATCATTATGCTCAACAATTTCTGTCATATTCAATTCAACCATGAGTTTTACAAAGAGACAAATTTTAAGAGAAAAAAAAGCCACCACAAGAAATGAGAATATGTCCTTTTCTGTAATATGAGAAACTTGAACTAAGTGGTCTCTGAAGTTCTCTTTCAACTCTAATGAGCCTATTCTCCAGTGTTTCTAGTATTTTAAAATAATAAGGAATGCTAGGAAATTTGCAACTTCTTGTTTCAGATTACTTACGGGTCAGAACTTATTTCTAAAAACTGTTACTTTCTTAGTGTTTTCATAAAATTCACTAATCCTAGGTTTACAGAATTTAATAAAGCATGCTGTGCTCTTGAACTGTATCTGAATGAGAAAGCCAAAGATTTTCGTTTGAAGTTCTGGAAGTATTTTCCCACCATTCAGATGGATTTTCTATTTCTGTTCTTCAGTTTTTACTCCACGTTTCAGGAGAATCTGCCATCAGGATGAAATCAAATTCATCCAGTGAATGCAAACCTTTCCTGGCTTTCTGCTGCCATAAAGAGAATCTGACAGAATTGTCACCTACACCTGAACCACACCCCTATAATAGGCATGTAACAAGTAATCCTGCGAGTTGTATTAATAGCAGGGATATAAGATGTCTGCCAGCCTTCTCACAGGAAGCCAGTGGTGAAAGAAGGAATAAAAGCCAGGCTTTCAGGCCACGAGCTAGGCCTTCTGTGTGGTCTCCCACATTGCTTCTCTTTTGAACTTTTCAATTCAAAAGCAAAAATATCATGGCTATAATGCCACCAAGGATGTTGGCATTATAGCCCAACAGTCAATCAGTTCTCTTGCTTCTTTTTTCCTTCACACTATCTAAACATCCATTGTCTTAGAGGGCAAGGTGAATGTCATGAGGATATCATGAAGGGAAACTCATAATAATCCTAAATTTTGTTTCTGAGCCTCTGTTGTCCTGGACAATACCTACCGTGGCCATCGTCCAGGAATTCTGTGATGGTGGCTGAGGCACATTTGGACCAGGGCTTGGATGCATCAATGCTGGTTAGGATGGAAGACATTAAGCGCTTATCTTCTGTGGAGCCAAAGTTCTCTTCACAGAATTTGGAATCGTCATGGGAGAGGCCAAGGAGATGTCCTACAGGAGAGATGACAGGAAGTGCGGATCAGAGTGGTTTTGCGATTCTACTTTTCTGTGTCAATTACACTAGCACTTGATTTCCTGCCCCCACAACATTTGTACATGAATTCATTGTAACTGCCTTTCTCACACAGAGATCGGACCCCTGGGGAAATCAAAGCTGCATATAGTTAGAAGCAGTCACTTTGGGTAAACATTTAGGGGAAATATGAAAATGACACTAAGGAGTAGATGTTCCCATAATGCATCTGGATCACACATGCTCAATGATATGTAGAAATGAGGCCTTATTTAGAATCAAGAATTTGCAAGACAACTGTGGGATTATGTCATAGCCCTCACTACATATTATTGTGATTATTTGTCTAATTTTCCATCTTCTCTGGTCAATCAAAATCCCCATGAGATCAGAGAACATTTCTCTCCATTGACTGTTGAATCCTCTGTATTTAACTCAATGTTCTGCAAGTTGTAAACACTTAGTAGATGGCTTCTATTTCCTTAGCCAAGTAGCTATATGAGATGAGTGGGGGTGGAGTGGGAAAGAAAGAGAAGTGAAATGAGTAACTTTCTGCTTGCATGGAAATGTAAGCTTGTCTCACCCTTTCATTTCTTTTAGTTATTTAGTGAGTTATGAATGTTTACTAATCTCACAGATAAATGGCACAGTTTCATTTACATTTAAGAAAAGCCCAAAATACCAAGATGCTCATCATGGAGTGTTAGAGCTTGAAGAGAAAAGAAAAATATTGGGAAGGTAAGTGATTGTCTAAAACCACTCAGCTAGGTGATGTTTGTACTTATCCCTCTCAGCCATGTTTCCCTGGCTCCCAGTCACTGCCATCTCCATTCTACAAGACAGATATTATATCACAGAGTTCATAACCACGGTCTTGTAATCCCACTGAATTATTTATCACATAAGATTAATTTTTACATAGTCTACAGATAAAGAGTCATTGTCCAATAAATCTAAAATATTCTGCAAAAATAAATTCGGGGCAGCAGTGTAGAAACTCTGAAAAGCAGGAAATAGATACTCCTGGTAGCATTTTTTGCAAAAGTTTATAGAATCATACGCAAACCACTACACAGGAATGCAGGACATCCTATAGAAAAATGATGACTGCATTTTCTGAGTTTCTGAATGCCAAAGGCAAGAACTTGGATCATTCCACCAGAAGAGTCCAGTATGTACCAGTAAAACCCAACAGAGATGAAGTCTTTCACGCATTCCAACTTCTTTTGGCCAACTTGTTAAATCACCAACACCTCATAACAAAGTTGTCCACTGAGCAGCTGGTTGCTGTTGTGGCTGAAATGAAGTGGCTAGGACTTGGTGACCTTCCGAGGCTCAACATGTTCATGCTATTTAAGCAGTTATTTACTTCAATAGCATTTACTAGGCTAGCAAGTTTTCTTAGGGAAAACCTCCCACCAGCAGTCACGTTTTATTTGGTAAGGAACATGAAAGCCCATCACGATCTGCAACGTGTACCCCAAATCACATGCAACAGGAGATTGGAGGGGTTCTTCCAGTTTGGGGGGGGTATGTTGAGTTTTCCAGGGAACCCACAGCTCAGCTCACAGAAAAACAGAATCTGTCATTCATGCCCTATTGAACGTGGCTTAAAGTTACTTAGTACATCAAACACGGGTTGAGAATACACTCTGTGCTGCCTGAATTTTTCCAAGGCACAATGTTGATCAGCTAACACTGGGATGTGT